GCAGGGCATAATAAAATGTTGCTCTGAGCTAACGAAGGAATGGTTCGAGGCCACATTGTACGAACTGTTGAAACTTATGCATTTAGGTATGAAAACTGGTGAGGTTCTATTGCAATCAGTAATGGCGAAAAAAAGAGAGTAGTGTATGGACTAAAATAAATGTTGTTATTTCGCCCTCCCCCCTCCCTCCCTGGCCATGCATTGGCGTCGCCAGGATTTTTTTGTAGCAGGGGCGAAACAAATTTTTCCCCTAAAATCCTTTTACTTTCTCTAGCATATTCTCAATTAATAATTTTGTTTAGGGTGGGCGGGGGACATTTGCCCACCACCCCATTGACACCCCTGCAGACGCCCATTTTGTTAAATGTGTATTAAAGTAATAGCAAATATGACTTCATACCTCTTTTTTTTTTTCTTTTCCGGAAAGAATGTTATGGGTTACTTCGTTTTAATTGTTTTTGTTTATCTTTGTAGCTGTCGTTGCCTGTAAATAGAAAACACTTAGTTTATGTATATAGCATATAAACCTATGCACTGAATTCAAAACTACATGTAGTGGTGACAGTTTGCCAAGTTATTCTCGCAATAAACCCTGTAATCCCTCATATTTCTGTTCATCGGTGCCTTAAGAAAGTCACTGCATGAAAGAGGGTTCTTCCTGCACCTTTTCTTTGAGAATTTTGCGTGGCAAATAAATGTAGGGCCTATGGCCTGGTACGTCTTTTGAAACTCCCGCACTAATCTCATTCAAAGTGAGCAACTGGGCTTTAAGTTTCCCGTTGTTGTTGCATTCGACGTGGCAGTTCCTGGCAGGGTGAGCTTGTCTTACATACGCAGTGTGGACTTCCGAACAAAAGACGTCCACATAATGTAGGTAGCAGCGACGAAGTGTGGACTTGCCCACGTCCACACAGTGTTTCCCCATTTCTGGAAAACAGGTTTAGAGGCATTTTTGGGTTAGGTTTATCTGTAGCAGAATGAAGAGAAACACTAAAGGGAATCATTGAAAAAAAATTGGGTTGTAAGAGTTTTCACAGTTTGAGAAAAATGAGTTTTTCCACTGGTGTTCCTTAACTACACGAAAAGAAAGGAAAGTCCACACTAGGTATGTGAAACAAGTCTGGGTGTGTACACATGTGTGAACATTCGTGGATTCGTGTAAACATATGGGAGGTCTTCCTAAAAAGTTAAGGTACAAACAAACGAGGGACAATAAGAGGTCGCCGATTGCAGGCAAATATGTGACACCCCGCACCCCCAAAAAACAATATAGATATCTGAGTCGGCATTTAAAGCTTCAGTCGGCAAATAAGTGATAACTACCAAATCAAAATAGGGAACGATGGCTTGTCACACGAACAGGCTGTTTTGCTATATTGGGTGTAAGGATGGTGTCGTAAACCCTCCCATTAATCGTTTTGCTGTCAACATATTATCATGACCATGTATAGGAAAATGTAAATAGGCCTACGCCTCAACGAAAAACTTATTTTTAGAATTTATAGAACCTATTTTTTTGTATTTGCGACTGCCGGCCGATGCGTAACAAAGAAAGTCACTCGTTCACCGCACACACTCTTTACGCCGCCATGTTTGTTTGAGTTGTCAAGATGGCGTACCCCGATAAAGGTCTATTGTTTCCGTAATTTTGATGAATAGATCTGTTAATTGTTTTTTTACAAAAACATTATGCCTTTTTTTCTGGTCATAGATGGATATGAACCAGAGGTCATTATTTTGAATATATTACATGTATGCCGCAGACCTTTAAATTCTATGGGTCTTGTTGCTATGGCGGTGCAACGAGTATTTTTCAAAGCCGTTTTTCTCTCGAAATAGTTTTCTCGATGTTCCAAAATACTGTTATCTAGTCGTGGCATTTCATCGGAATAAAATAAGAGCTACAAGGATAATTCTGTTAAGTGTATCCTTTTAAACATTGTGTTTATATTTTAAAAAGTTCAAAGGTTAATTGTCAGTATAGCGATGAAGTATAGTGTTTCCGGTATTTCCGCCACAAATCAAAATTCTAGTTATAACCGATTACCTTTTAAGAACAGAGTCCATTACAAAGTTATAATTTGTCACTTAAGCAAAATTTTAGCTGCAAAGTGAAGACTAAACTGCTGAATGATTCTGTAGTAGTCACTCATAACATGTGGATATTATATTACGCTCTGTGACGTGATCGGAAAATGAAATTTCATATAAAACTATCCCCTTGAGAAATTCCATCATATACAAACCCAAAAATGCAAGGAATTATTCATCTCTAATTTCGGCGCTTGGCTCAGTCATGGACTAAATATGAAGGGTCTAGAGTGTAGAAGATAACTGAACATACCCAATCATGTTTTTAAACCCTGTTTTGTATGCTCCACACACAAATAGGCTAAAATAAACGATTATGTAAAACGCACATAATAGTGCAACTCGGCTACGAATATTCCCTGTAGAAGATATTCACGGGTGTTTCAGTGCATATAAGTTTCATGAAATACAAAGGGAATATAAAAATGATGACCTTAACTACGTATTTGGATAATTTTAATTAACGCTAAAATGGTACCTGCATAAGACAAGATATTACGCTACTCATAGGAAATCTATATGCACTTATGGTAATAAAACAAACTATAATTGCCTCCATTAACGTTTAACCACTTCGGATGATATCGAATGGATACGTATTAGTAATTCATGCACGAAATACAAATTCACACGTTCGAAATAGTAATCCATATCACATAGCATCAAATCGCACACATAGGTCAGACAAGCCAGAATTAAAGACTTATATGTACATGAAATTCCTCTAGTATAGTGGGCTCGTCTAAATATAAGCTGTTAGCTTCTCGCAATCCCAGTGCGGCACCACACCATAACACCAACATTTCGCACTTTGATTCATCAAATTTGTTGAATATAAATGTTCCTTATTGCCGTTATGGGGTGACGCAAAATGGACATGAGTTTTGGTCTCATATGCAAATCACTCAAACTCTCTGCATTTAAGAAAAAACTTCCCCAAATCTATGTATTCATTATGTATGTACTCACTATGTACTCAATTTCTAGGAATCTCTCCAAGTTGTTATTTCACGAGTATAGTTGGACACTCATATCATCTAAGTATATTCCGAATTTCAGCTTAATCTGTTGTTGCAAACGCTAGTGTTACGCCTTGAACTATCTCCAAGCAAAATTTCGACGAGGAATTTTTTGCAGACCCTAACCCACGTGGATGGTTTGGGGACGTCTCTATAGTCCAGTACAGTTGGTCCGACGTCCCATCATCCGAAGTCCCATTGATCTGACGTCCCATAGGATTAGGGTCAGGGTTAGGGTTAGGGTCAGTCAACCTGAACCAGTGGAACTACACAGTATAATGTTTCATCGGACCAATGGGACGTCGGACCAATGGGACGTCGGACCAATGGTTCTTCGGACTATCGAGACGTAACCGGATAGTTTTCAGCAAAGGCTATAGCGCCGTAGGCGCTACGGTTGACCGATTTCGGCCCGGTAACACAATGACGAAGGGCATATTAACGTATTAATTAGCGTCAATCGACGTGACTTGGCTAGGGTCTCGGTATCGACCAATGGAAGCCATCGTTAAAGGGTGATATTTATCAAATAATAACTCGTGAAGGAACCTTTTCTCCAAATGTTTACTTCACACCATAATAAAGAACCTTATTAATATTCGTGAGACTTGAAAAGATTGACATGCATTGCAAACATCAGTCTTACAACTTTTAAAAATGCACGTAGAAAGGCCTTTTTTTTTATGCCCCGCGGCGAAGCCGAAGGGGCATACTGTTTCCGCCTTGTCCTTCCGTGGGTGGGTGGGTGTGTGGGTGTGTGTGTGGGTGGGTGGGTGTGTGGGTGTGTGTGTCCGGACAAATCTTGTCAGCACGATAACTTGAGAAATACTTAACATATGAACTTCAAATTTGGTCTGTGTATTGTTCTTGGTAATCCTAAGAGGCCTATTGCATTTGGGGCCGAAAGGTCAAGGGTCAAGGTCACAGTTGCTGAAACAATAGAAATTTTGTCAGCGCGATAACTCGAGAAATACTTTACACATTAACTTCAAATTTGGTTTGTGGATTGTCCTTGGCAATCCTGAGAAGCCTTTTGCATTTGGGGCCGAAAGGTCAAGGGTCAAGGTCACAGTGGCTAAAACAAAAGAAATTTTGTCAGCGTGATAACTTGAGATATACTTTACATATGAACTTCAAATTTGGTTTGTGGATTGTCCTTGGCAATCCTAAGAAGCCTATTGCATTTGGGGCCGAAAGGTCAAGGGTCAAGGTCACAGTGGCTAAAACAAAAGAAATTTTGTCAGCGCGATAACTTGAGAAATACTTTACATATGAATTTCAAATTTGGTTTGTGTATTGTTCTTGGTAATCCTAAGAAGCCTATTGTATTTGGGGCCGAAAGGTCAAGGGTCAAGGTCACAGTGGCTAAAACAATAGAAATTTTGTATTTATTCTGAGATCATAGGGATTAGGGATTAATTCATATAAAACCTACAGAAGACACTAATGCTGTCAATTAATGAACGTTCCATGTGACCAAGGTACATGTAAGTTGATGTTAAAAGAGTGGTGTTATGTCATGGGAACAGTCACGGTTGCGGGGCATTTGTGTTTGTAAACACACCTGACTTGTTTCTTTCTAATTTCAACGAAATAATGAACATATCACAACGATTTTTAGCACATACGTGGATCATTATACGGGAAATAAACCCTGAAAGTTGCATGAAGATACGGTCTTCCAAACGGGAGAAATTACTTTTCAAAGATTTCGCCAGCCAACGTGAACATGTCTGTGTACATGGAGTGAGTCAAAATGAAGTGCTACGTAACCTTCGAAATCGCCCTTCGCAACCACACGGCTGTACAGCTCCTTTTTTTTTTTTTAGCAGATCTCGTGTCCAAATTTGAAATGATAACAAATGGATATTTGTTCTTTCTTTATAACAGAAAACGTTGTATTTTGGGCGCCTGTGTGGTAGTTGTAGTTATCCTGGCTGCTGTAGGCCTCACCCTGGGCCTTACGCTGGGCCTCCGGGATAAAGATGACACATCTCCGCAGGTTGGCCAAACTCCGGCCAGCACGGCAGCACCGAGCGTGACGAGTCCACCCTTCCCGACGGGCTTGGGGGTTTACCGACGGGCAGCCGTGGCTACAGATTACGGTCCGTGCTCGGAGATGGCAAGGTAATGAAGGGCACACAAGACAACGTAGATGACCAACGAAGTGTGATTACTGTGCAGCATCCATTCACTGTACGAATTTTCATTTTAAAGTTGCAATTAAAGGGGTTGATGCAAACAATGCAATCCTTGAAATTACATCTTTGTGTCCCATTTCGCCTTATGCTTTAATTTTCGTTTGGCCATTTTCAAAGGTACTTTGTTGCCTTTTGTTTAAATGCTAATGCAAAGTTCCATATTTATAGGCAAACTGTGATGTCATTAAACCTTACTGTTAAAGCTAGTTCAGTACAAAAAGGTGCTGGAATTAGGATATTATGCTGTCTTACATTTTCTTTTCTTTGGTGATTTGTTGTTGTGTAAGTACATGGCAGTAAGCAAATTAGCAACCCTTTCTCACACATGTTTTCAATGGGCAAATTTTTGGGTTCACAATCTGAACACCAAATTGAACAGTGTCTTTCTAAAATGACGCCACAGCAACAGCGCCCTCAATTGTCCAGACAAAACATGGACAAGTTTAAATTTTTAAAGAAGTGCGATATTGCTTTTATTATAACTAGAAAAAAAATTAGTGTTTATTTAAGAGTAAAAAAGTGGCACAAAATGTACACTAAAGAAAAATTCATCGCATGGCCCTTTAATGTTTCTCTCGTTGATAAATCATGATGCACATATCAATTGCCCCCCCCCTCCATGATACAGAGCAATTTGGAACAGTTATTATTTTACTGTTAAGTTGTCTGTCTATAATACAGTAAATTATTGTCTTCCTTTTTAAAAACCCGTACCAAATTAATGCTTCGGCCTTATTGTCAATCACGTGTCATCTTAGTTTTCTTTTTAAACAGTGTCCATAACTTATTTTTAACAGGGACATTCTTCAAGACGGTGGATCGGCAGTGGATGCAGCCGTAACAGCCACCCTGTGCCTGGGCGTGGCTAGTCCGCAGAGCTCGGGGCTCGGCGGGGGGCTGTTTATGGTCATCTACGGCAGAAATGGCTCTACGGAGACTATCAACGCTTACCAAACAGCTCCAGCCGCAGCAGACTTTGATATGTTTGTGGACGACACAGATCAAGCCAACTACAGTAAATCGTTGCTTCGTTCCGAAAACGAAAAGTCTTTCTATGGATTCGTAAACTTGATATTATTTTGCCATTTGATGATACAAATTACCATTTTATCACCAATAGGCCTTATGCACGAGTCGGCCATATTGAATTGAAAGTGAGGAAAAAATCTTCATTTTTGGATCTTGCGAAGAGAAATGAAAGCAAGTAGATTACTAATTAATTGAAGTCTGCTTGAATAAATAATTTAAAATTTAAACATTCCCTATTGTTTTAAGCCAGATTTTCAAAAAAATATTACAGTAAAATAAGGCTGCATAAATAGTCTGGCGCCATCCCATTCAACAGTTAACAATTTAAGAAATACATTCGGGTAACTCGACAAACTTGCCAATTCGTGCATAAGGCCAATTAACTTACATTTGCCAATGATTGCGAAACTAATTTAAACTTGTTGCCTATATCTTTCATTTGTTGACGAGATCCTGACCGACTGGTACAAAACACCAACATTGGCAGACAGATTATTTTAACCCTAGAATGATGACACCTGACGGTGTTTCATTTTGTCATATTCATCTTCCAAATCAAACCGTACAGGACGGTAAACTCATGTCGCTTTACCATCTTTATCAGAACACAGGCCCGTTCCCTGATCCCAGACTGGAGGGGGGGGGGGGGAGCTCTTCGAAGCCCCGCTCAATGTTGGATTCTAGATGCTCTGTGGTGCAATCTGAGGCATTTCCTGACCACTTTCCCCTGACTTTTTGAATCCAATTTGTTCGTGTTTATAACTTGAAGGCCGTATTTATTTAGGGGAATATTCCTGGAAGTCGCAGATCCGATCTGACTTCATTCCCGCCCAAGGAAATGTTTATCGTACGTGCCTGCCGCACCCATTGATTTGCTCGACCAATGATATTATCGACCTTAAAATCCTTCGCTAAAAGCTTTGAAAACCTGGCAAATTGTTCAGTATTATGTCAAACGAGGCTTCGTCTCGTATACACAGGGTGTCGGCTAGGGCACATTGTCCCGTAATTGTAGTACTACACACCTTGTGAGCGAAAACTATTATGGGGACCAAAGGCGCCATGGGGACAGCAGACAATTCCATCGGCGTCGCCAGGACGTTTTCCGGGGGGGGGGGGGGCAAAGCACATCTTCCCTCAGAGTTTCTTAACTTTTTCAACACATTCTCAATTTATTATTTTCCGAGCGTGTGCAGGGAACATTAACAGCAATATGGCTTCCCACCTCTCTTTCCTTTCTTTGGTGCCCCCTTTTTTTGGGGGGGGGGGGGGGAAGTAACCCCCCCCCCTCGCGACGCCCATGGACAGTTCCCACAATTCCGTCCTAATTCCACAACAGATAGAAAACTTTCCCACAACGCGGTGTCGGCTATACAATCACCTTTTTTGCTTTGTACTTCAGTGATGCGGTGATAGCGGTGATTGCGGTGATAGCAGCGATGATCTCAGCATGAATACTTGTACTTATAATTGTTTTATAACATTTTAGGCTCGTCGTCGGATTTCACACGAATGCTTCACATGTAACCTACTCATCATATTTAGTTTTTCATTCATGCATAGGAGCAAGAGCCATATGTGTACCGGGTGAGTTGGCGGGATTGTGGGCAGCACATCAAAAGTACGGAGTACTGCCGTGGAAGCAGCTCGTTACACCGGTCATTAATATGGCTGAACATGGCTTTCCGCTCGCATGGCATACTGCGTACTGCCTGAAAATTCTTCAGAAAAAATTCAACCGATGGCCGATTCTTAGGTAAATTTGATTTATTGTTGGTGCTCTTTATCCATTTCCTCCGTCAAAATGGAGCTGATTTGACACAATTTAATTAGTAGGGCGGAGCCCAGTTGAGCTGAGCCGGGCCGTGCTTAGCCGAGCCAAGCCGAGTCGAGGTACACCGAGCTAAGCCAAGCAGACCCGAGCTGACCCGAACGGAGCCAAGTTGGGCCGAGCGAGGCCGTGCTTTGCCGATCGAAGCCAGTCGAGGCACGTCGAGCTAACCAAGCAGAGCCGAGCTGACCCGAACGGAGCCAACTTTGGCCGAGCCAGGCCGTGCTTAGCCGAGCCAAGCCGAGTCGAGGCACGCCGAGCTAAGCCAAGCAGAGCCGAGCTGACCCGAACGGAGCCAAGTTGGGCCGACCGAGGCCGTGCTTTGCCGATCCAAGCCAGTCGAGGCACGCCGAGCTAACCAAGCAGAGCCGAGCTGACCCGAACGGAGCCAACTTTGGCCGAGCCAGGCCGTGCTTAGCCGAGCCAAGCCGAGTCGAGGCACGCCGAGCGAAGCCAAACAGAGCCGAGCTGACCCGAACGGAGCCAAGTCGAGCCGAGCCAGGCCGTGCTTTGCCGACCCAAGCCGAGTCGAGGCACGCCGAGCTAAGCCAAGCAGAGCCGAGCTGACCCGAACGGAGCCAAGTCGAGCCGAGCCAGGCCGTGCTTTGCCGAACCAAGCCGGGTCGAGGCACGCCGAGCTAAGCCAAGCAGAGCCGAGCTGAGCGAACGGAGCGACGTCGAGCCAAGCCGAACTGAGCCCAGGCTATCTTTTGCGACCGCATTGTCTGTACAGCGCGTCCAAAAATACCCGCAACATTTTTTTGCGAGGTTGGAACCTTACCTTTATCCCTTGTAAGTATTTGATTTTCAGTAAGGTTTGATTTTCAAAAGGGGTTTTGAAATGATTCGTGTTCACATCCATTGATACGTGTCAAAAAAAACCAACCGATTTCAAGGAAAATCTCTTTTAAATATCAAACCAATACTCGCCAGGGATAAAGTTGAGATTCCAGCTTGTGTTTCTGCGCTGACGCTAGAGGCTTGCAAAAAAAGTTGCTGGTATTTTGGGACGCGCTCTATATACCCCATGGGGTTTATGCACAAGGGATTACTCCTTTATCTGTGAAAAAGCGAAACGATGTCGCTTCAGCGCATCAAATAGTACATGAGGTGATATTAGTTTATCCCCGCAATTTTCTTCTTCTTCAACCAAGTAAAGCTATTCAGGCGCGGATCCAGATGGGGGGTTTTGGGGGTCAACCCCCCCCCCAGCTCTGTCAAAAAAAAAAAAATTCTCATACAAATTCCTAAAACATAAGTCGACCCCCCCCCCCCCCCCCCCCCCGCTGTGACACCCCCAAAAAAATTATACTGGTGTAATGTCCGCCTGTTCAAAATACGGTACACCATTCTGTAATAAGTGTTAATAATCGTCGAATTTGAACAGCGCCCCCTATTGAAATTGGTACATTCCCCTCCCCCCCCCCCCCCAATTTTTTGATTTTACGGAGGCCAAGTGTCCGGAGAAAAAAACGTGTGTACATTTTCAGATTTTTTGGCTGATGAAACCCCCCCCCCCTGCGAAAATTCCTGGATCCGCCCCTGGCATTCGTTAAACAAAACACGAGATAGAAATACTTCATCATGTGATTTAATAACTTAAAATGGCTTAGTTTTCAAGTGAGTACTGCATGCTATCGTGGCGTGATGGAATATTATTATTTTAAAAAGAATTGAACTGGACATCGCGGTTTAAAACACAAAAACGTAAGTATTTTTCTCGCAATATCTGTTTTTAACAAGTCGTACTTATCAAACCAATAAATGTAACTTTTTTGGTGATTTATGATTTAACAGAATTAAAGTCCGTTATCCCTGAAGCATGTGCATGATGATCAGTGGCTATACTTGGTTGCAGAAAAAAGTAATTGCGCCCGTCCCTTCCGCTTCTTTGAATTGAGACAAACACTGCCCATGTTTAGTGATGGAACAGTGTTTCTACAAATTTCGAAAGGGTTAGGGATCCCGAATATATTGCCAAGGACTATTGCTCGTAAGCCTGAAAACTTGAAAGAGCACACAATGAAACATTAAATACTAACCTTTAAGGGATGTGAGGAAATCTGCGCAATCAGGCAGAGGTCGTAGGGTAAAGAAAAATACAAGAGGAAAGAAAGCGATACTGCGCAAACCTAACTGTCTGACGTTCGTTCTGGTTCTCGTAGAGAGCTGTACACGAAGCCCGACGGATCATTGATGGAGTCGGGAGATAACATCACAGCACCTGCTGGTCTGGTGCAGACGCTCCGTGCAATCGCTGAAGGGGGCGTTACGGCACTGTACGGTGGAGACGTGGGTCGGAAACTTGTCCAAGATGTCAGAGACCAAGGTATTAAGCAATAATTAATTCGTATTGCTTCATTCCAAAACCGCGGGTTCTTTTCTGCCTAGATTTGACTTAATCTCTTCCCGTTGAAGGATTCTTAGATGTCAAGACATCATTATTTCGTATTAAAGGTTCAGATAGCTCCAGACGGGCAAAGGAGTAATTTCCCTGAAAAGTTTGTCTCATCAGATGGTTTCATTCATAACATTGTTAAAGTAGGGGATGTGTTAATGCTAGATGCACAGGTATTTTTTTGTACAAAAAAATATGAAGAAGACAAAACAACGCCGAGACAAGTTTTCCGTGCCTTCTTTCCCCGCTTGATACGCAACTCAATCCAGTCAGGAGTGGTCTGGGTTCATGATTCTACTGAGTACATTTCTAAATGAATCTAATCGGAACCTTTGCCTAATAAATTCATACTTGTGATGGCGTAACTAGAGTTAAACTTCTAGGGGGCACCACTGGGGTGCACCGATATTTCAAGGGGGCACTGAAGGCAACAAATGAATTGTTTTTGTACAATTCAAGATTGTATGTGGGGGGCAACCGGGGGAACGGACCTCCGCTGGGGGATGTGACCCAAGTGGCCCCTATAGTTACGCCACTGTTTGTGAGGTAGAAGATAGACTAGTCTGAGTCTGAGTCCACAGGGATCTGCTGTGACCAAAGTACAAGACACGTTTTTTTTTTAAAAAATCCCCAGTATAGCCGACAGCGTTATTATTTTTGTCGGGGAGTTGAAGATGGAAATATTCGATTGAGTTCTTGGTTGATACTCCACTGTTGCCATCAGCGATTTAATAGCGTTTTACTGAGCTTAAAGACTGTTAAGTGGAATTTTGACAATTCAATTATGCTTCACTCAAATACATGACAACCAATTACCATTTGTTTTTGCTCACGTATAAACAGGTGGAATAATGACTTTGGAAGATTTGACCAGTTACAACGTCACTTGGGAAGATCCCGTCGTGTTAAACATGGGGGAAGGCCAACGTCGTGTAATGTCCACACCGGTTACATCTAGTGGAAACCTTGTGCAGTTTACTGTCAGCATTATGGACGGTGAGCCATACAAGATCCAATGTAATCTCTATAGCGTCCGCAAATGAGTTAACTAATTAACCATGAACATCTTTACAAATGTTTGACGATCTTGTATAGGAAGATGTACTCTGGGTTATAGGTATCATATCAGTAATGACTATTAGTTTTGAGATATAGCAAACGATTGGAGGGCGCTATTGGTTTGGGTAAATGCAAGACGTGCAATCTTAGTATAAAAGTTCAAATACTATTCTTTTTAAAAAATACTCAGAACTCTCACAGGTGTTCAAGCAGCATAGAAAACTGATGATCACAATTTTTGGTGGGTTGACTTATGGAGAAATTCTCACCTAAAGAAGACGAACGATGTTTCCCAAACCGGAATTGTAGCCATTTTGAATAAAGGGTCCCTCCACAGCATGGCTAAATAGCGCAAGTTTTTGGACCCAATTACATTCAAAAAGCTTAGAGTTTGAAGCCCGAATTCCAGGCCAGAGGTGCAGTTTCACATGTCTTCAAATCTCCAATTCCATGGCTTTCAGAACTCTCTAACATAGAATAATATGAGTTGTATATTTTTGATTTCTGAGCTCGGCGGAAGGATTTTTAGCCAAATTACTGGGGTGTACTACTCTTGCACATCGCAATTTCGCTTCTTCACAAATGTGACACTCGTCGTCTGCAATCAGACGGTTGTTGATCCATGATGTCATTTTTCTGGAGTTTGTCAGCAAATTGGTGACAGCGCGTTACATGAGCCTTTGGAGCAATTCCTGTGTTACAAAAAAGATGGCGACCGTAACTGTGTACGTGTAAGAAACGAAATGTTGAGCACCTAGGCGGGCAGGCAACATGATCACCAAAGAAGTTTCATTCGGTGCCTCTTAAGTAGAGATACGCTGTTGGAGTGAGAACTGGATAAAAGCCTAAATTACATCATAGTCTAATCAGTGGCAACCAAAGGCGAGGATTTGTTTTCCGGTAGAGTTCTTTTTCTCCTAGTTGGGATGCATCATTAACATTTCAGATATTTGTAGTTGGTTCCTGTATGAACTGGAAAACAAAGTTGGCATCTTATTTTTCTCTTTTTGGGGGGAGGGGCAGGGGTAGTCTATTACGCGTGAACAGATTTGCTGATTAATAAGGCAAGACCCCGCCTCTTGACTTCCTAGATTTTGACCATTCAGCGGGCACTTTCTGTATAGGCCTATCAGGTCTTCGGTCATTCACCCGTTGCACGTCATAGACATGGAAAACAAACTGTAACGGCGCGCGGCATCATGTTATGCGAATGCGCTCCAGGCTGTTGTTGTATAACAAAATACTGCATTCGAATTGACCAATCATAGCGTTAGTTCTGATTTGGGAATGAAATAACGTCACGATTGAGTAAAGTCGACTCCGATTGGCCGGTGCGCGGCTTGCATAAATTTGCATGTCGAGAGATGTCAGACGTGATCGACCGGAGAGATAGGGCTCCGTGGAGAACGGGTGATACTCAGGGCGGGTGTAGGGGTGTTCTTTTTTTGGAGGGAGATGGTGGGTAGGCTTACTTAGCAGAAGTGGAATCATGTTGGCTGAGTCGGTCTTATTTTCGTTATTTTGGTGATTTTGTAATCATGTTAAGGTTTGTTGTTGTTTTGCAGAGTGTAACTTGGCTAGCGTGAACCTCAGCTCGTACGAGGGCAAACTGAAAATGTACCACTATTTCATAGAGGCTAGCACGTTTGCTATCGGCCTGAGGTTGCACTCGGGAGATTTCGGCAAAGCGGAAACTAAAAAAGTAAGTGACGTACGGGACTTTTCAAGAAATTGGCAGCGTGTAGTCATTATATTTCGAGATGAACCACACGAGTAATATAGGTTTTCCAGGCCAGTTTCCTGAAATGTTGAATCACTTCTGAAAATCTGTCATTCGTTTTCATCTGAATTTGAATGCACGTCTTTAATCCCATTTCAATTCAATGAAAGTTCAATCGTTTTTGTTGTCCGTGAATTCGGTTTTGAGAAACAGACGGCCAATTACGAAACGTGCTTTCATTTACGCAAGCATGCCTTTTCCAAATTGATGTCAAGTACAACTTATTTGATTGATGCTGAATGAAAAAGAAACCCCTAATTGTATCTGGTGCCGATGGCATTAAACTAAAAGTGAAATAGAATGGTGAATGTTTGAAATCGCCCTCCAAAAGCGAAAAAAAGAAGTCTCGTAAACGATCCTGATGAATGGACATAAACGAAAGGTGCTGCTAAAATCGAATGCTCTGGTAACGAAAATGAAACTCGTGTTAAGAGCGATTCTCGAATTCAGACGAAAATGAATGACCGATTTTCAGAAGTGAATTAACATTTAAGGAAATTGGCCGGGAAAACCTATATGTTGGGATGGTCATGGTGAAAGTGAAACGCTCCTTGCCTTTAAATTAGCCGTTTTTACCACAATTTCATCATCTTTTCAGAAATCAGGTAGCTGCAAATGAGGGTGTCTTAAGAAAGCATGTGAGCCTTAAGAACAGGGGTGGGCCGTGATTTGCGGATTGAGCCCCTGCACCGGCGATGGAATGATTTAAAATATCCTCACAATAATGGCCCATCTTAACGCTGTATTTTTTTTTAACCCATCAGTCTGTAGCTGCTTTGTCGTCCAAGGAGTACGCCCGGACGATCTGTTCCAAGATCAACGAAACCTACGTTACGTATCCCTCCGGTCGGGATTACGACACTTTCAATGACCTTCCCGAGACCTCCCGAGCAGACCCGGCGCTAGAGCAAGCAGATGAAGGAGAAGCTGTGGACACAATGAATGGAGATACAAGTCACCTGAGCGTCTATTCTGAGCAAGGGGATGCTGTGTCGATGACTACATCAGTAGGACGATAGTGAGTTGGCAATTGTATCCACACATTTCAGCTGCCAAAGTAGGGCATGTTATACAGTACATTAACGTCTCAATTTAGATGTTTTTCGCTCCAAGATATCAGCCTGCGACACAGCTGACTAACCATGTCAAAATCTCTAAACTTTACTAATATCCTGGTATTCAAACCAATTGTAGTTGCGACATTTTTTTTACGTATTAGTTTTGGTAGTCGAACCTTTTCCAACCAGACCGGAATCTTCCTCAATGGCCACATGGGTAACCTCTACTACAACGGCCGGTCACCGTCATGGGAGGCTAACAGACTGGCTCCGGGCGCCCGGGTTATGTCTACCATGAGCCCCTCTATCATTGCTGATGAGGGCGGAGCCTTGGGAATCATCGGGTCGTCGGGAGGTCTGAGAATTATCTCTACGAATGCATGGGTGAGGCAGAGTTTAAATCTTATCAAATACGATGCCATGTTCCTCGAGAGATTCCCCCACCTGGAGGGGTTAAAAAGCATTTTATATTTGAAATCGACAGAACGTTTCAAATAAGTGATCACAAGAAAACTAGGAGAATTTGACCTTTGAAATAAAGTCTCGGTCAGTAGTTTAATTCCCCCCCAAGTTCTCAGTACTAGATTAAAAATATTGTCCGCATAACGTATTGACACCATTCTTTTGTTGTTTTCTTGGGTTAATAATTATCCTTTCAACGTGCAAACGTCTTCAGTTTTAAGCTTTTCTCTGTTTGCGTCAAAGCGCAGGCGCTGCCAAAGGCATTCAAATGTCCCTCCCAGTTCCCCTAGCTCTCTTTTTAGAACCGATGAGGGCGTATTACCTTCATTACGTTCAGTCCATTAAAAGTGATGTTTGCTTCTTTTCTCAACCCAACAGGTGCTGCTGCGTTCTCTCTGGGGAAGTGAGTCGCTGTCGGAGATGATCGATTCTCCCAGGGTTTATCCCTACAGAAGTGTCTCTGTCAGCCGTACTTACTACGAAAAGGACTTTCCTGAGGTAAAATACTGCTGTCATTATTTACATACTATAGACTGTTAAAGAAACAAAACCCAAGAATTCTGAAATGACTTATTGTGTCAATCGATGTCCAATAATGTGATCAATGTCTGTGAATACTACGAGTGACAAGCACATTGCTGTAAGGGGAAAATAGTAAGGTTGTTTTTTTCAGTTACAACAAAATGTTTGCTTTAAGACTTGTCCATGATTTAACATTTTGAAAAAAAACCCCGAATTTGTGGAAGAGTACGAACAATACAAGCAACAACTTGGGTCAGGATGCCCTTTTTTGGAGGTTGAAGTTATGAGAACCCGAGTAGTGAAATGAATTACATGAAGCCATTTGTTATTGTTTCCAGGATCTTGTCGAAGGGCTGAAGGCCATGGGGCACAACATGGTTTCCACCTCGTCCTTCGCTGCTGCCCAGGGCATACTCCGTGGACCCGGGCCGGTTATCCAGGCGCACTCGGACCGACGTAAACATGGATATCCCGCCGGTTACTAACCAACCATTCTTCCTGCCTCGTCCCCGGGGTTTACCTTATTTCAACCTCGTTTCTAATGGTATACTGCTGGGTGTGAAACTCAGTGTTGTAGTAGAGTACTTTTCCCCCGAGTACCGAGTACTGCCGAATACTAATAGGTTACCGAGTGCAAGTACTTGGCCCAGGCCCAGTCAGACCTATACACAAACCCACTCACGGCTAGCTGTTAAATGTGTTTTTTTTCCGGACGCGCACAAAGAGAAAAACCCAAACTTCGATTTCTTGGCAAGCCAATCAAGCCAACCATTTCCAACTGAAAGTATATCGCTAATAACGTAATAAGGCTGTAGTAAGTCAAGCTATACCAATTTCTTTCTAGTACTGCTATTCGAGAACGAGTACTTTGATGATCGAGTACATTTTCGACACGTCGAGTATACGAGTACTTTGCTGCCCGAGTGCGAGTCCCGTCATTTCGAGTACGAGTACTTTGCCATTCGAGTACGAGAACGAGTACGAGTACTACAACAGTGGTGAAATTGCTTCCTGTATCCTGATTCGAAGAAGCAGTAGCAAGCAATGGATTTATATCGTGTACTTTGTGCTTTTATTTTCAACGTGTATTACGTATTTTAGCGTTCAATGTGAATTTACGTCCACTCCACCTTAAATACAATCCCCATTTTTCCATTTTGCTTATAATAATACATGTATGTAATGTGATACTATACAGGCTGGATAAGATTACATTTTAGATTTGAAGATTATGTTTTTATCCTAGACACAGCACACACACACACAATTTCCAATTTAATTTCTAATAATAATTTCTGTATTTCTAATATGCATACTTGGGCAAGATTTTGAACATGCAAATAATCCAGTACCAGCGTTATAGAGGGGGTTGTGATGGGGAGATGTTGTTGCCAAGAAACCGAACGTTTCTTCGCGCCAATATCTCCCTAATTATGTCCCCACCATAATTAGACAGCGTCGCCTACGGCTAGTCGGTCACGTTTATCGCCATAATGAGCCAGCTAGTCCAGTTTTCCTCTGGAATCCTGATGCCCCTCGTCGTAGAGGTCGTCCCAAAATGACCCTGAAAACATCCATCGAGTTGGTAACTGGTCTGGGCGGTCCATCTCTTTCCATCACTATGCTTGACAGAGACAGTTAGGCCCAACTCATCATGAAAGTGAATTGAATGGAGAAGAAAAAGTAGTGATGGAGTCTATTGCTCGACACCGCAGGAACGAGCCTATTCTTCCAGTTGAACAATGAATTAAAGAGCGCCCTCATGGGTTGTCCAACTAATCCTGGAATTGATCGCTGGACTTAATTCCGCTGGTACATTTTTTTCTTCCTCAAACTACATGTAGTAAAGTCATTAATGACCTAATCTGTAGGTTTATTAAATCGTAGGTTGTACATGATCTAATCGTAGGCTGTCCCGGCTATTTTAAAATGTTTATCTTTCAAATTCATTGATTCGTCCAGCAACACTGACATAGGCCTAGTGTACTTCCAATGATTAATTTACCCTGAAAGCGCCATTCCAACACTTTTCCTTTTATTTGTAATGTTCTCTGAGAATAAAGTTTCTCTGATCTCAGTACACTTGCGACAGTGTGCCGTTTGTGCTTGAGGAAACAATGAAAATGCTTAACCATACAACTAAACTAATTTACTTAACATAAGTATTACTGTAACAGTGATTGATATAAGACGAATTCGATCTCTAAATGATGCCATTCGACAAATTCAATATCTGTATCCACGAATATTCTTGATCTAGTCCTTAAATGTGTTGATCAAAATTTAATTTTTCTTATACCTAAATTGATTTTAATCAAGTCTTTCTGATCGTTTAAAAAAATGTCACTTTTTTCATGGCTTTGGCGAATTTTAATTAAATTGAAGTTAAGTCTGAGAACCATTCCGTTACTAACTGACGCAAAAGAATTATTGTCCTTGACTACACTTAGTTGCAGAAAAAGTGCTGCCCGCTTTGATACGAACGTGCAACTCCAAGCGGACAAACTTTGCCTAGTGTCCCAGCTTTGGCTTTTCCCGTTCTTCTGGATGCAGACCAGTACATTGGTCCGACATTGCCTACGCCGGCCAAATCACGATTTGCATGCCCTCAAAATCTTCAGTATTTTTAGCATACTGTTGGCCATAAACTTGAGGGTTTGTAAAAAACAAAATATGGGTGAAAGCCGTGCACAGGACTGTGAGCTTGTAGTTCCGATCAATTTGGATGAAATTGGGGCCCTAAAAGCGCTCTATTTTTGCAATGGAGTGTAGGCATCGTTTTTCAAAATAGCGGAGGACTTCAGGACTTTTTTTCAGAAGTGATCATCTTTGGATGGCAATTTCTCCTAAATGTCATAAGTTGACCCCAAAAAATTGAAAAAGAAAATGAAATATTTACTGGTCTGCAACCTTTAATTTCAAATGGCGTCGTCCATCGTTGCGGTGCGCATGCGCTTTATATTTCACGACGGTGTTTTTTCACGAGGAAAACGTTATGCATTTCTACAGTTAAGCAATCGAAACCTGGCGTTTAAGCTTTCTCAAAAATATGTTTACGATATTGCTAACTCCATAATCAGTATGATATGATGTCATTTAGATGCACCACCATTACCGCTAAAGGGCGTATAACCATTTTTTCCTCAATTATTCGTAAAAAAAAAGACCACTTATTTTGTCTATTTTCCACAGACTTCCAACAAATGCGAAATAAATTATATTTTCAGACTATCTTGCTGCTGGTTAATTTAGCCTCCGAGCTATTAATATTCAAAAATATAATAAAATAATCTTGTTTATTGACATTTTGTGAAAAGAGTCACAGTGAGACTGTCTGGCAAGCATGGCCTTACAACTGATCACCGATGATCACATTTAAAGCCGGAGTCCATCATTTGCAGCTATCCAAAAAAGTAACTGGCGCAATTATTGTTGAAAAACACACTGGTTGAAAGATAGTAAGAGGACTAAACTTCCTGTGAAATTATTCTTTTCTGACAAGCTCTCATTTTGAAGAAATCAACGAAAAAGGCATTTCCAACGGTGCGTCTTAAGACGCACCGTAGGAGAATTTAAATTAGTAGTTCGTTTTGTTATTCGGCGCAGCGCGCGCAAGCATTGGCACGACGCACAGGCGCGCGCGGCTGCTATAATTCGTCGGATCAGTATGCGACATCGCGTAAAGCTACAATTCAAAACAATTCAAAACATGATTTAGCAACTTTTGATTTGAAATTGAGATCCTAGAATGCTGTTTTTCTCGGAATATAGGGCCTACAGCTGAAGCTAAGCCGAACTTCATCAGGTTAGTTGTTCAGAACCCTTCTTTAGATTTTGAACACTTTTGTTGCTTCAAACGAACAAAATGCACAATTTACATATGATGGACTATGTCTTTAAGGTTACGATATTAGACATGTTAAGAAGTTCGTTACTGCATAACAGATCATAACGCCAGTTACACCAAGAAGCTTCTATACAATATTATTGCATAGCCAGCGTTTGGTTTTTAAGTTGGTGGCCCGGGGGGGGGGGGGAGTGACACAATCACTCACCTTTGTTACCTCACTGCTTCTCCACGATAGCACCAGCTCTCAAAGTATTTTGGTTTCAGTTAGACTGCATATGTGTATGTAATGCTTACAACAATGTGGACCCGCAGCATATAAACAACCAGTACAAGAGCCCATATAGGGGGGGGGGGGGGTTGGCTCAGACTCCACGCAACAATTACGAGCACTTGCACTAGCTAGCACCCCGGCGCTAGATCGCTCGTCCATTTATACTTACGCACGTAGGCCTTCCAGGGTTATATTATAGACGTGAGAACCATTTTATCTTGCTGTGACCTTTTTCAAAGGTTTTTGCCCCTGAGAGTGCAAACCGTGTTGTGTTGAACTTTGATACCTGCATGAATGACTCAGCAAGCAAACCTTTAACTTGGCTGTTGATTTTGTGGGGAAAATCCTTATCATACGATGACTTGCTGATTCGCGGATCTCTCATACGTTACCTCCCGCTTCGTTGTCGGCAGACGAAGAATACTGAGGTTTTTGCTAACAGCCATATTTCAACAGCTTCAAATCATCAAAATCAATCCTTCCACCTGCCATGGTGAAATACGTGATCCACTACTTCAAGTTCAATGCCCGCGCTGAAAGCCTTCGTTTGGCTTTCAAGCTAGCTGGCGTCGACTACGAAGAGTTAACCATCGAAATTCCAGAATGGCCAAAAGTCAAAGCAAGTGAGTTCCTTGCCCAATGAAATTGTTGAACTTTTTGTAGGTTTCGGGTCGCACTTCCGAACCACAAAGAAGGGGTAGGGAAGCAATAATGTGGAAGGATGAGCCAATACATTTCATTTTGAACGTCTTTATTTGAATTTAGAATATCCCACTGGGCAATTACCGGCGTTGGAGGTGGACGGGAAGTTGATCGGGCAGACGAAGGCTTGCCTGCGATATCTAGCCAAGGAATTCGGTGAGCATTATCCTTCAACACATTGTCTTATAGGTTCGCTCATAAGGGCCTGACCCGGCCTCTGCCGTGCCAATGTTAATACACTCCAAGATGTTTGAATTTCATGCGGCAGAGGTTCGAAATTTGATGGCGTACTGATGTCCCATCGGAATTCGCGTGTCAATTTTTGGCGGTATAATATCAGACGCCTGCATGAAATCAATCCATGACACAATGTAATTTGAGCTACCCGGCCCTCAAAGTCCACCATTCACCCCAGATTAACCCCTGGTATCCCTCAGGCCCTAAACAGTCAATAAAACCAGACACTAACCTCCTCGATGCCATTTGACAGTTCCATTTTGGTCACAGGGGTGATCGAGGTAATCCCTATGTGAACAATGCATTTGTACACAAGCCTATGTAAATGCGCACAAGCACACTAGGTTTTCCCGCCAATTTCCAACCCCTCCAGTAGGATCACAAGACTGACACCCCCTCTAGTGGATGTACCATGGTCCATACTAGGATCAAGTGATAGATGACCTGGGCATGGCTACCACGTGGCTGGGACAATAAAAAACAAAGAAATGCGGAAGTGATTTTATTCACACTGACTCCGGCTAAGCTCAGCCGTACACAACTGCAGAGCGGTTAATTAGCCTGTTGTTTCTTTCCATACGATGTCATTATAACATTTTTCTTGGTATTTTTGTACAAATACACCTGTTTGTAGTAAAAACAATTCAAAACAAATCGAGGAGTTTTCAATTGCTGCCACACGCGTCATGCGTATTGTGTTTTCCTTTAGACTTTTAAGACTTAAGAAAAATTATCATAAAAAAGATTAAGACGAAAACACAATTGTCCATATACATGTGTACAATATTAAGAATAAAGGTCTTTGTGCAATGATTATAAAAATGTCTATTCGTCTTTGTGCCCGCGCTATACCCCCCCTCCCAAAAAAAATTCAAAAACAAATAAAAAACAACAATTGACTAGAGACAATCGGATCTGGCTGGTTGGAAGTTGTTATGTGATGTTGACCGCCTTCAAAAGACATTTTAACAAACAATACTTCATGTGATAAACAAGACTTCATTTTCTTCAAATGTGATGAACGACATTTTTTTTTAGAAAGGTTATTTGTCGTTTCTTTAGGGCTTTACGGAAAGACTTCCCTTGAAGCAGCATACATTGACCAGGCTATGGACATGGTGGAGGACATCTGGCCGGAATTCGAGAATATTTTCCGTGGTCCTTTTGCAAGTCAGGTACTAGAGTTTCAAACGTAGATCCTAACTCAATTGGGGGAGGGTGTGGAGACCAAAACATGTTTAGGGTCCCTTTCCATTAAAATAACCAAACAAACAAACAAACAAACAAACAAACAAACAAACAAACAAACAAACAAACATACAAACAGACAAACACCCCAACACCCCAATAACCCAACAAACAAACAAACTTACAATCACCAACAAACAAACAACCGGGCAAACGAAGAAACACTGAGAACAAGATGCCGTTACCCTACAGTCTAACCTATATCCCCGTCCCCGAACAAAACAAATGAACAATGATAAGCAGCTAACCAAGCAACCAAACATCAAAATTTAATTGTTTTAATGAAGATCTTAAAGTAACACTTATTAACGAAAACATTACAATTGTTTTTGAGGCCGTGAGAACAGAAACGTTCTTAAAAGAGAGGGTCCCACCCGTCTATGACGCCTTGGAACGCTTACTGGATCTGGAGCAAACTGGGGACTTCTTCGTCGGAAACTCGGTAAAAATCTTTGAGGTTTACAGTGAATAATCTTGCCATTAAAACATTAAAAGCAACATGTGATCACGCTGGTAACTAATCCAAATACTGAGAAAAGCACGTTTGTCCTTTACTGCTTTGTATTTGTAGATCACAGCGGCTGATATCTTTTTCTTCGCCGCATCTGATCTTGTGAACGCCACGGGCAAGGGCGCCAACTCCTTGGAGAAGTACCCGAAGCTTACCGCCCTCAGGAGTCGCATTGCTGCCAACCCAAAAATCGCAGCATGGCTGGCAGTGCGACCAGCCGAAGCGTCGTTTGACCAGGATTTTACCCGTGAGTGAGATCAAGCCTGCGCAGCCTAGTCCGTCAGGCCGTTCATTTATTGCACACACAAAATACCGTACTCATGGTTATTAACGCGCGTAGGTCGGCTTAAATATTTACAAAAATGTTCACCTTTGAATTGAGATGTTTGGTTTTCAAAAACTGTTAAAAACCCTTTACTTGTTAGATTTATATGTAGTTTTGAACTTGAAATATCGAATGAACAACTGATTCATGATAAGCTATTATTAAGTACAAAATGATGATATATTGAGGGATTGACATATGCTACAATCTGCGCACTGTCTGCCTGAATTGGAAGAACCCGTGTAAGATATTTCTTAGAAATTCAATTTATTGCTAAGTAGTGAACGAGCTATACCTGTGTTTGTACTTGCTATCTCATTATTGGTGTTAGCAGATATATCGCTACCAAGCATTACACACTTCATGCCACCGTTCATTAACTGCTACAACTCTAGCATCCAATAGTGTCTCTGTCTTTGCCCTTTGTTTAAGATTCGTGTTTGTCTGATGATGTGTCGCGTGTATATCTATTAAGTCTGTGACCTTGTATAATTTAAAACAATATCACAACAGTTGTGAAGTTGGGATGTTTTATTACAGTGTATGATGTTTTCCGTCAATTTGTGTCCTTCTTGCTTAATATATTCTACATCTATACAAATACTCCAATTCATTATCTTTCTGTGACGTCACTGATAACAATGCTTACAATATTCGTTGTGTAGATCATAGCCAGAAAAAGGATGTGTAATAAACTTGCGATGATGAAAAAAAATGACCTTTTTTTGCTCGTTATTTTGTTTTCAAAAATCAAACAGAAAAGCGCATGCAATAAATAACACGTTTGTGCTTTTGAAATAATTCGATTATAGTAACTATAGTTTAAATTTGTACCCAATTGTAATTTACTTCCAGCTGTTTATTTCAATTTTTTTTTCTGTCTAGGAAGTTCATTTAGCTTCTCTTTATTATATCTAAGCATATATGACAATTCGTAATGCATTCTCAAACGAACTTGCGTGGTAGTATTTGAAACGTTTAAGCTAGAAAATATCAGAGTTAACCTGCATTTCTAAAACAAAACAAAAAGCTGTCCTTCAACGTTAAGATGGTATACTGATACATTTCTTAGGCTTTCGACTGTTGACATGTTGTATTCCCAGAATGCAATCCATCTGGTCATGTGACATCGTATAATTTATGGATCTAAATCAAGTAGTTTGGTTAGTGACCAACAAATAGTGACACTTAGTGACCAACAAATACTTTTCGGCAGAAAGGTTCATTCTGTGATAATTATGTTTTAAGTCATCAATAAGCCATATTGAACATTGCATGTTCAACCTCTTTTTGATAACAGTATTTCATAATTTGTATACTTGCCGAAAACCTACATTTTGCTCGATGCAAATGTATCACAGTGGTCGGGTAAACATCAATTAATTATCACGCAGTTCATTATCAAAGTATTTTGCACTTCGTGAAATCATACACTCTCAAAAAGATATGTAAAAAATAATTAGGTAAAAATTGTTTTGTGAAATGATACACAATTTCAGTAAAATTCGCCGAAAAAAGTACCTCGAAAACATGGAAATTATAAAATACATATTGAATAAGAAAAAAAATTAATAAAAACAGTCAGTTTACCTTAATTGTGTAAAAACGTACTGCAATTAGGTAAAACATGCTAAAACAAGGTAAAAACGTACACGCGGTGACGCGATGCAGCTAGCACAGCACAGCATAAGTGAAGATGGAGTACACCGTGACGACTGTAACAACGACGGGATATGCCGGAGATGATCGATTCTCCCAGGGTTTATGCCTACCGAAGTGTCTCTGTCAGCCGTACTTACTACGAAAAGGACTTTCCTGTTAAAGACTGTTAAAGAAACAAAACCCAAGAACTCTGAAATGACTTATTGTGTCAATCGATGTCCAATAATGTGATCAATGTCTGTGAATACTACGAGTGACAAGCACATTGCTGTAAGGGGAAAATAGTAAGGTTGTTTTTTTCAGTTACAACAAAATGTTTGCTTTAAGACTTGTCCATGATTTAACATTTTGAAAAAAAACCCCGAATTTGTGGAAGAGTACGAACAATACAAGCAACAACTTGGGTCAGGATGCCCTTTTTTGGAGGTTGAAGTTATGAGAACCCGAGTAGTGAAATGAATTACATGAAGCCATTTGTTATTGTTTCCAGGATCTTGTCGAAGGGCTGAAGGCCATGGGGCACAACATGGTTTCCACCTCGTCCTTCGCGGCTGCCCAGGGCATACTCCGTAGACCCGGGCCGGTTATCCAGGCGCACTCGGACCGACGTAAACATGGATATCCCGCCGGTTACTAACCAACCATTCTTCCTGCCTCGTCCCCGGGGTTTACCTTATTTCAACCTCGTTTCTAATGGTATACTGCTGGGTGTGAAACTCAGTGTTGTAGTAGAGTACTTTTCCCCCGAGTACCGAGTACTGCCGAATACTAATAGGTTACCGAGTGCAAGTACTTGGCCCAGGCCCAGTCAGACCTATACACAAACCCACTCACGGCTAGCTGTTAAATGTGTTTTTTTTCCGGACGCGCACAAAGAGAAAAACCCAAACTTCGATTTCTTGGCAAGCCAATCAAGCCAACCATTTCCAACTGAAAGTATATCGCTAATAACGTAATAAGGCTGTAGTAAGTCAAGCTATACCAATTTCTTTCTAGTACTGCTATTCGAGAACGAGTACTTTGATGATCGAGTACATTTTCGACATGTCGAGTATACGAGTACTTTGCTGCCCGAGTGCGAGTCCCGTCATTTCGAGTACGAGTACTTTGACATTCGAGTACGAGAACGAGTACGAGTACTACAACACTGGTGAAATTGCTTCCTGTATCCTGATTCGAAACAGCAGTAGCAAGTAATGGATTTATATCGTGTACTTTGTGCTTTTATTTTCAACGTGTATTACGTATTTTAGCGTTCAATGTGAATTTAAGTCCACTCCACCTTAAATACAATCCCCCATTGTCCATTTTGCTTATAATAATACATGTATGTAATGTGATACTATTTAGGCTGGATAAGATTACATTTTAGATTTGAAGATTATGTTTTTATCCAAGACACAGCACACACACACACACACACACAATTTCTAATTTAATTTCTAATAATAATTTCTGTATTTCTAATTTGCGTACTTGGGCAAGATTTTGAACATGCAAATAATCCAGTACCAGCGTTATAGAGGGGGTTGTGATGGGGAGATGTTGTTGCCAAGAAACCGAACGTTTCTTGGCGCCAATATCTCCCTAATTATGTCGCCACCATAATTAGACAGCGTCGCCTACGGCTAGCCGGGCACGTTTATCGCCATAATGAGCCAGGTAGTTCAGTTCTCCTCTGGGATCCTGATGCTCCTCGTCGTAGAGGTCGTCCCAACATGACCCTGAAAACATCCATCGAGTTGGTAACTGGTCTGAGCGGTCCATCGCTTTCCAATACTATGCTCGACAGGGACAGTTAGGCCCAATTCATGAAAGTGAATGAATGAAGAAGAAAAATAGGTGATGGAGTGTATTGCTCGACACCACAGGAACGAGCCTATATATTCTTCCTGTTGAACAATGAATTAAAGAGCGCCCTCATGGGTTGTCCAACTAATCATGGAATTGATCGCTGGACTTAATTCCGCTGGTACATTTGTTTCTTCCGCAAACTAGTAAAGTCATTAATGACCTAATCTGTAGGTTGATTAAATCGTAGGTTGTACGTGATCTAATCGTAGGTTGTCCCGGCTATTTTAAAATGTTTATCTTTCAAATTCATTGATTCGTCCAGCAACACTGACATAGGCCTAATGTACTTCCAATGATGAATTTCGCCCTGAAAGCGCCATGTATTGTCCGTTAATGCGTATAATCGTCGGTTTTGAACAGCGCCCCCATCTACAGATGGTACCAGCCACTAGCCCCCCTTCACTTTTTGATATTACGGCCGGGCCAAGTGCCCAGAGAAAAAGACGTGTCTACATTTCAGCACGGGTATGCAAGTGCCCTTTTCAACGCCCTTTTCAAATTGTTGTCAGCTACTGGATTTTATTTTCTTACAAATACTTCTGGCTATACATTGTAGGCAGACACAAATGTTAAGGCCGGTCCATACTCGGCGCGAAAGCGAAGAGGAATTTGTGACGTCGCGGCAAGTATTCGAGCTTATTTCACAAAAGTTGAGAACATTGAATTTTTATCTCCTGTGGATGTCTCAGCGAAAGTTTCCTTCCATTAAATGTGCGTCGCATTCACATCCAATTCCAAGTCAAGTACGAACCGGTCTTTACTATAGGGGAATCTAGGGTCATCGTAGTTTTTGAAATTTCCTTCTGCCATTCCAACACTTATTTTATTCGTTTCTAAATGTAAAAGTATTTTATTATTATTGTTGTTTTCCTTTTATTTGTAATGTTCTCTGAGAATAAAGTTTCTCTGATCTCAGTACACTTGCGACAATGTGCCGTTTGAGCTTGAGGACACAGTGAAAATGCTTAACCATACACAAGACTAATTTACTTAGCATAAGTATTTCAGTGATTGATAAAAGACGAATTCGATCTCTAAATGCTGCCATTCGAGGAATTCAATCTGTATCCACAAATATTCTCGATCTATTATCTAGTATTTTTCCCCCAAATTTCTACAGTGGGAGCATTATCATTGTGGTCCATGGAAATTTATTTACTGGTCTGCAACCTTTCAACCTCGTCCCCCGTGCTTACTTTATTTCCAACCGCGTTTCCAATAGTAAACCCTGGATAGGAAACTTTCTTCCTGTATCCTGATTGGATACCGCAATTGGCTAGTAATGGATTTTTAGCGTGTACTTGGTGCTATTATTCACAACGTGCAGTACGTGTTTTCGCGATCATTCGTCCACGCCTTCTCGAAAATACTAATTTCCTTTCCAATTTGCTCATATTAACATGAAATATGATACTGCGTGTTGTCTCGATAAGATCGTAACAGTTTGATTTCAAAAATCGTGTTTTCGTAACTCACGCCGTGCTCGCGCTGCTACGAATTGACTCCAGATACCGCATACAAAAACAAACGCTAATGTGTAACGCATATCCAGGCACCAGACTGTTCCTCATTTGCATACGTGTTCAAAAATCTTGCACATGCAAATGATCCAATACCAGGGTGAGAGAGCAGGTAGTGGTGGGCGCGTACTGCTCGACACCCTGGGGACGAGGTTGGTAACCTTTAGTATCAAATGGCGTCGTCCATCGATGCGGTGCGCATGCGCTTTATATTTCACGACGGTGTTTTTTCACAAGAGGAAAATGTTATGCATTTCTACAGCTAAGCAATCGAAACCTGGCGTTTATGCTTTCTCAAAAATATGTTTACGATATTGCTAACTTCATAATCTGTATGATATGATGTCATTTAGATGCACCAACATTACCGCTAAAGGGCGTATAACCATTTTTTTCAATTATTTGTAAAAAAAAAGACCACTTATTTTGTCTTTTTTCCACAGACTTCAAACAAATGCGAAACAAATTATATTTTCAGACTATCTTGCTGCTGGTTAATTTAGCCTCCGAGCTATTAATATTCAAAAATATAATAAAAATAATCTTGTTTATTGACATTTTGTGAAAAGAGTCACAGTGAGACTGTCTGGCAAGCATGGCCTAACAACTGATCACATTTAAAGCCGGAGTCCATCATTTGCAGCTATCTAAAAAAGTAACTGGCGTAATTATTGTTG